TAAAATTCCCTTCACTGTGAGTAAACCTTGTGCCAGTCCCCAAAAGACAAGGTTAAAATTGAAATAGTCCTTGCAACAATTTAAGCCAGATTAGCGTGTTTATTTGGAAGGAAGGGAGCAAGCACAGTCCAAACATTTTGGCACCCCAAGAGATTTGAAATCTCAACCTTGATCAGATTAATTTAGTGAAGGTCTCAGACCCCAATTAGCTTGTTAGTGCAAGAATTTCCCAAGAAACCATTAGTCACCGGCTCCTTCTTGCTTTGATAATTGATTTGAAAAGCTGATATACACCTAGCAGATGAAGCCTAATTAAAGCTAGCAAAAGGCTTTAAACATATTCCTGTAGGGGAGCAGCTGTGGAGGTGTAAATTTGTGTTTTTACCCCCCATCTCCACCAGCAAAGCTAAAGTGTTTATGGTTTCTGTACTTTCTTAGTTACAAACGAGAAAGAAAAAAAAACACAGTACTAAAAGTAATCCCTGCATTCTACAGCCCACCTCCCTCACTTTTTATTCGTTTTGAGTTTAACTAACTCTTCTACACAGCCAAAAAAGGAAAGTTTAAGTCAGTCCTTTAAAGTGTTAAATTTGTGCCGTGTATCTCTTTTTGACTTCAGTATACTTTCAGTAAATTCATACTATTTAGGAGCACAGAATATCCACAAGTACATGAAACATGGGAAATGGTACCTTGGTATGATTTCTAGTGCTAAATTGGAGTCAGAGCTTGCCTGGCACCAGCTTTTTCTGTTTCCATCATTGTAGCTTTAGCATTAAAAATCGAGGCTAACTCAGCTCCGACTCATTGAAGGGACAAAACAAAACAAAAAAAAACACATTGGGTTGGAGCTAACCTAATCCACTATCATCATTTTTTTTTTCCTAACTCGCTCTCGTGCAAGGCGGACACATTTTCCCCCTCCTCCTCCTGCTTTTTTTGCTCTCTGTCTGTGTATCGGAGGTCCTATTTTACACATCTTCCGAAACGTAAAACTACTGCCATGGCTCTGGTCAGCTGGACTTTTACAAGAGCCCTCATGTCCCACTGAGGTGCACATGACAGGATACGTCATAGATCCATGGGGAATTTGGGAGCCGATGTGTCGTTCCATATTGTCTCAGGAGGACGCTCAAAATGTTTATATAATTGGAACCGTGATAGCAGGGTTTCTGCTTTTTGGCATTGGCAAATTACTATGTTATTGGCTATTAAAGACAGTGGCAGCAGTTTCAGCCATGGCAAAACTGCTGAGTCTGTGTGAAGGTTTGGTTCATGCTTCGAGGACTCAAAATCAGCTGATTTATGAGCTAAACCGTAAGATGGAAACAATTGGTGAGAATCGCAGGCCACCTGTGGTTTCTGGGGCTCACCATCATGTAGGGGACGACCTTGAAGGGGGCTCATAAGCACGGACCAGTGGAATGCCCACAAATCTGGCCATTTTGGGATTGAAAGCACCAGCAGGACTCAAGGCTGACAAGAAAAAAACAGTCTGCCTGAAAAAAATCAACAATTGTGGCTTATCTGAATCTGACTCCCCCGGTTGGGCTTGAAACAGGCCGACTTATCGAATTACTCTTGGGATATGTGTAAACTAAGGAAAACCTATGTCTATCCCCCCCCCCCCCCCCTCCCACCACCTTCTGTGAAGGCTCATCAGAGCTGTACTGGCTGACACCAACAGCTTATCAGGACTATGGGCTATCTAGAAGTGCTAAATTTCACCATCTTGCCATCAAATGCATATATAATGTGTTACAAATGTGCTTGCTGGTAGAGGGTTTTTTTTATGTCTTGAATCGTGTCCTGATAAGGACAATAAGGTGTGAAGAGATCTTTTTTAATACCACTATTTTATACTCATGGCCTTTTCCCCTTTTCTATTTTAAAAGTATTCTGAAAAAGGATATGGGGCCGTGCTCTAAGGAGCAGCAGCTACGTGCACTCCGCCCATCTTTCGGACGAATGTACGAACATAATCTCACTGTATTTTGGTACAATGATAATAAAGCTTATTCTGATTCGAATACTCATCTTTTTCAACTTCATTCATAAACACACTTTGAAAAATCGTTTATACTTTTTTATTTTAGCTCTTTTAATGTTATCAGGTGTTTGTAGCTCCTGTTAGAAGGAAATTCTCATTCGAAGCAGTGTTTGAACTACAATCAGAGATCCAAAAGGTCGGTCTGCAGAGCGTTCACAAACACTAACTCTTCTTTAAAACTGTGTTTATAAAATAGACAGGTCATATTAGAACATGTATTTTTTGTGCTGTTTATAAAACACCAGACAAGAGAAGAAAGGACACCAGATCACTGACTCCCATGATGCCAATCGTGCAACAATCCGTGACACACTGGACTACTCAGATCATAAGATGATTCACAAAATTCCCTCAAAAGAAACATTTTGTGGAAGAGACGTTTAATGTGAGGTAAAGATGTTGCTCTGAGTTGGTTTTCCGATTTTTGTAACAGTCTTAACTGTAGTTTTAAAGAACCAGCTCTAGAATCAACAAAGTCCATGCTCAATAATCCAGGTATAAAATCCAACATTTTTTCAGTCAGGTCATCTGGACAGTTTCCTTTTTTTGGTGCTGAAACGTTTCGCCTTCGATCCAGAAGGCTTCATCAGTCAAGGAAACACACAACAAAACTCATTCTTCCCCCAACCGCTTACTCCAAAGTGGAACAAACCAGTTCTGCTTGTGATAAGATGGTCTCTTTGGTACGCCCCCTCCTCCATTGCCAGCCCTCTTCCTTATTGACAGTCTTGTCAAACTAGTTGAAAACAACAACGTCCATGCTCAATAATCCAGGTATACAATCCAACATTTTTCAGTCAGGTCATCTGGACATTTTTTTTTTTTTGTGCTGAAACATTTTGCCTTCGATCCGGAAGGCTTCATCAGCTCTAGAATCTTCCCTGGTCTAGCACTAGAATGTCTTTAGGGGAAATCCTAATATTGACATCCACTCAGAGCAAAATGCAGGTGTTCAAGACCCAATTTGGGGTTAAACAAACATCCACACTAAAATTGGACTAAATATTTTCTAATAATAAAGATTTGACAGATGGACTGGTGCAGCATCTGCAGCAATGTGAACTCTGTGCAGGTCCAATGTAGTGAAGAGGGAGCTGAGCTGTAAGACAAAGCTCTCTGTTTACCGGTCGGTTTATGGCCCTACTGTACCTTCAGGTATGGTCATGAACTCTGGGTAGTGACCGAAAGAACGAGAACGCGGATACAGGCGATTGAAATGAGTTTCCTCCACAGGGTAGCTGGACTCTCCCTTAGAGCTAGGGTGAGAAGTTCAGTTATCCAGGAGAGTAGAACCACTGCTCCTCTACATCGAAAGGAGCCAGTTGAGGTGGTTTGGCCATCTGATAAGGATGCCCCCTGGGTACCTCCCTAATGGGGTGCTTTGGGCATGTCTGACTGGGAGAAGTCCTTGGGGAAGCACCAGGACACACTGGAGAGACTATAGTCTCTTGGTTGGCCTGGAAAGGCCTTGGAATCCTCCCAGAAGCACTGGAAGAGGTGGCTGTGGGAAGAAATGTATGGGCCTCCCTGCTCAAGCTACTGCCCCCACGACCCGACTTCAGAACAAACAGAAAATAATGGATGGATGGTTGAAGATTTGTTAATGTTTACTTTCGTTTTACATTGGCAATTAGCCATGATTTATTCATAAACACAAACAAAACCAATTCACAAGGATTATAATTCAGGTCTCCCGCTTCAAACAGACTGAAAACTGACGTTACACCAACCAGACACATGTTGTTCATGATGTTGTTCACCCACTTTATAATATAACTAGGCAACCACTTCCTCATTTCATGCTGTACTTAAGAAGCAGCTGTTCACGGGAACAGTAAAACTAAATCTGAATGGGAACCAGGCGATATCCACTTAGAAGAACCGAAACACTGTTTATGAGCCGTAAAACTCTCCAACAAAGACGAGGCGTTTACAAACAATCTGGATTTTTCTGAATGACTCTTTATAAAGACCACTGGGAACCGAGTCACAGACAGTTGAGAGCTGTGCTCTTTGTCTTGTGTTTCACACAGATGCAGGCACAGACACCGTGCATTCATTTGCTATCATCACCAAGGTGATGAAGAACAGGCAATGTGGAGAAGCGCAACAGTTGTTGTTATTGGCAAACGTGCTCAGGAATGGAAAGGCATGGGGTTGTGCATTGGAGAAGCATGCGTGGCCACGACAGTACTGGTATACATTTTAATGCGCATACAACGGGACATACCACCACGCTATGTCATGAGCTGTACCTCGTGATTAACCTTTAAAGATTGGTCCTTCGAACAGATGTTTGAAAGGAAGCTCAAGATCCAGTTCAGGGAGCCATATATCCCAATCTACATGATTTCAACAGGACCTTTTGTGGACGACTGAAGACAAATCCAATTTTTATCACCTCATGAGCTATGCACACCTACACCACCAGTAAAAGTCCCACAGAATTTTCTACACTTGTTTGTAAGGTGCCAAGACTTTTGCTTCTGTCTTTCCTCTTAATAAAAACTTGACTCAGTCAACGCATCATGTAAACTATAACGAATCAAACTGAGTCTGTAGTATTTTTTTCATACGGTGTAAAACAAATTGCCAAATCGTCCACGTGACTTTGCTTGCTGTGCTGATCCCTGAAGAAAGGAGCAGCCAAAAGAAACTTACTTTATGTAAGAGATGGTTTTGCTTAAATCCGTTATCATCCCTGTGAAGCTCTACAGTCAAATCTAAGTCCGTTAGGGGTTAAAACATGACAGATTGTCTCCCGTTGAAGTCAGTGTATTTTGCATATCAACGTTTATTTGCTCTGACAGAGAATTTGACCTGGTTGCCCAAAAAGATTGCAGACCACTGTATTTCATTTTCTGCAAAAGAAAAGACAAAAAACAAAACATAAATGAGAAGACAAAAACAGCACACCGCTACAGTTGTCACAGCAATATGCCATTCTGTATCTTTTTATATCTAGTGCACCACTCTGACAGCTACATCTGTGCATCCACCCATACATCACGCACACACTCTCACATCTGTAACTACTTTGTCTCCAAGCCATTTGCTTCTCTCCACCTCTTCAGTCCCAACCTGTCTCATGATCTTTGCTTCAAATACTTCTCGGTGCCGTCTTATCTCTTATTTTGTTCAGGTCTTATGCGCGCGTTTCTCCGCAGACTCTCCGGGGTCAGTACGGGGAAAAGAGAATTGATGTGTGTGGTGAACAGATGGGTCCAGCTGCTGGGTGAAGCAGCGCCTGGGGGAGGGGCTGACCGTGAAATAGGGCGGGGCTTGAGTTTGTGGTTGGCTGGAGGGGGAACGGCGTCAACGGTGCCAGGGCGGCAGAAGTAGCGACGGACAGGTGGCGTTGTAAGAGACAGGAGGCCAGAGGTTTGCTCAGATCCTGGTTCTTCCGTAGAGTAAGTCTTATCTGATGAAACACAAGTGACCAACAAAGTAAGTAAATAAAAGCAGAAGTCGTCTTATATATTATGAAACAACTATGTTAATAGTCTTGTGTAGCATTGCGATATTTTAATCTTGAGTCAGTATTGCAGACTTTTTGGTTCAGTGGTTGTGGGGTGTGGAGCTTCCTGGTAGCGGCTCCTGAGAATAAGCTCATAAACACAACGATGAGGAACGAAAAAGCAGCAGAGACACAGCAGGATACTCACTGCCTGAAGACTCTGGTGACGCTCGATGGGAGTGTAGGGGCTGAATTTGGGCTTGGCCGGTTTACCTGCTGCTCTGTCCTTGTGCCTCCTGCTGCTGATGTGCTGGAGGAGAAGATAAACACACACAGATACAGAAAATCGAATCCAGACTAACGCAGGCAGCAGCATTACAATCATATGGGAACAAAAACAGAAAAAAAAGTAAAAAAAACTAAGGTTGAAATTAACAGGGTTTATCAAAGTGCTTATTTTGAAATTCACTTAAATAAAAATGCGCAGAATTTGTTTGCTCGAACTTTTTCGTTCAAAAATATTCATGAGAGACTAGTATGGAAATGTGTTTGAGTTGATTGACCGGCACAAACAGATGGCTGACGGTCAGCAAAGCATACAATCATCAGCAAGTAGCTAAATATTCATGAGCACCTGGACAAAGTTAACTTTTAAACAGTTAGGTGTGAAGACTCACAGTATGCATTCGTGTCACGAACAGAGAGAGGGCAACGTCACATTCAAGTGCTCACTGGAACGGAAACTGCTTTGAGCTCATTATCCTGGGAAATATGTGATTTTAAGTCACCTGCATCGACAGGTGTTGGACATTCACACTGCGGTTTGATAAAATATGCACAGTCCTACATTTCCTGTCTGTGTTGCACGATGGAGGACGTGATGATCGCTACAATGAGTGAACTGTAAGAATGGCAAATCTGTGTGACAGCTGATCTTTTTAAACCTTTCAAGTACATGAACAAGAAGTTTAATGAGCCTATGTCCAACTCTGACCACTGCATTGTTAAAATTATGCATTGAAGAATGCACATCACCCACCACCTTTCATATCACTTTCAACTAGGATCATTTTATCCTAAAAATGACAAGGATGTCATCATTCTAGTCAAATTTTGAAAATGTTATTTGTGATAGCATGCGACAATCCAAAATTTTGCACCTCTTATTAGCACTCAGATAATGAATTAGCAAAGAATCTCAGCTACTACCACATCAAATTTTAGCTTTAGTTCTTTTAACCTGACTGAAATATTGCATTTTTTCTGCAAGGTCGATAAACTGTGGTAGCCATCTTGAATTGTGCTGGTTAATCAGTTTTAGATGTACACTAAAGGAGTGTACTGCTTAGTGGGGGAAACAGTTTACTTGGAACTCCTCAGACTGATGAAGCCCTCCGGATAGAGGGCGAAACATCTTTCCACAAAATAAACTGTTCAGATGACCTGACTGTCCTCTGATTCATGATTTTTTTTTATTTATTTTTTTTACTAACAGACAGAAAAACATCCATCCATCCAATATCTTTACCCACTTCTTCATTTTCGGGTCACGAGGGTCACTGGTGCCCAAATCCAGAAGTCCAGAAAAGGCAGGGCCCTGGACAGGTCTCCAGTCCATCACAGAGACACATAGAGACAAATGAGACAAACAACCATTCACTCCCTCACTCACACCTAGGGACAATTTAGAGTTACCAGTCAGTCTAACATCCATGTTTTTGGTCTGTGGGAGGAAACTGGAGTACCCAGAGAAAACCCACACAGCACGGAGAGAACATGCAAACTTCATCCAGAATGGCCCCAGGCCGAGATAAAAACTGGCGACCTTCTCACTGAGAGGCAACAGCTCTGCAAACTGAGCTACTGTACTGCCCGACAGAAAAACAAGCAAAATAAATCTTTATTGCCTGCCTTTCAGTTCAAGTTCATGTTCAGGCTGCTGCTTAATATACCGTATTATTTTATATTATTAGTGTTTAGTATATATCTTTGTTTAATCCTGGATTATTGAGCATGGACATTTTTGATCCTTGTATAGTATTTCTTTTTTTATATTATTCTTTGCTATTTTTAAGTATAACTGGGACTTTAGGTACACAATGTCATTCCACCTCTGGTATCACATGTGATGCAAATGACAATAAAGAAACTTGAACCTTTCATAGCAGTGGGCAATATAAGAAGAGTTACAATTTTAATGAAAAAGTTGTGCATGAATTCTTTGATGAACCATTGTGCTCCACCTCCCTAATGACATGATGAAAGGAAAAGTGATTGCAGAAAAGTGATGAATGGATGAATAAGTTATTGCAATTGAAAGTCTGGGGATGTAGATTCAAGTAGCAGGAAGGATAATTAAAACTGACACTTCTGAATAACCTTTATGAGACAATAGTTGGAGCTCTTGGAAGAGTTCTGAAAGCAGCACTGTGTGCAATGATGAGTCATGATTTCTGTACATCAAATTATTTACTCAAATTCTGCCTGTTCCCATTACCCTTAGTTGTATTTATCTTCCATTTCAGACTGCTCAATGCAGAAAAAATAATCTATTTTTGCAATATTTGAAAATATTGCTTTCAACTCAATGATATTCCTAACATCAAGATGAAAGTTTTTACTGGTTTCAGCCATTGCATCGTAGATAAAGAGACAACTAAATCAAATACTTCAATGTAAAAAAGGAAGAAAAATAGCTAATTGACTTGCAAACTGCTGTGAACGTAGAAGAGCTTCCATTTTAACAAATCAAGCACAGCATTAAAACCATAAACAAATTAAATAATATATTTTTCACACTAAACTGAAAACTTGTTAAAAAAATAAAATAAAATCTTATGTATTTGTGAATGTCTGACATCCTGTCTTTTCATTGTGAAACTACTGTTAGACACTGACACAAAACAAGACACAATCATTTAACGAGCTAAATTAAAAGGTGCTGACGTAGCGATAATCTCCTTCGGTTATTAATCCAGCTTTTATGCTACAACGTAGTCCCCACATTGAGTTTCTTTTGAACCACTCTTTAACTCACCTGTTTGAGCTGAGTTTCAGAGTTCACATGTACATCGCAGATTTCACAGTGGAAAGTTTTGTTCTGCAGCCCTGTGGATGACTCCGACGGAGCAGCCATCTTGGATTTGACCCCTATCCTTGGGAACGACTTGATGGCTCCGTTGCCACTTCTGGCTTCAAGCATGGTTTTGTGCTTAGTACCTGAACACACATAAAGTCACATCAGCTGGGAATCAAACGCAGTTCATCGAGGTTTGAACACAGTTTCTCACCACTTTTGTGAGCCTGAAGCTGCGAGGCCGAGTTGACCGCCACTCTACAGAGGGAACAGTAGAGGAGGCGTTTTGCTTTCTCTTCTTCTGTCTCTGGAACCTCTTCCTCTGCTTTCTTTAGTGTCTCGTTTTCTGTTGGCCTTGGACTGGGCGGCAGGGAGTGGTTAGAAGCCTCTGTTTCACAAAGACCAATGGTCACTGATGCTGTGTCTGAGGATGAGATTGGGGCTAAAGGTTAAACAAAATGGGCAAAATTAAATAAAACGTGATGTCACACACGCACAGATGACAATAAAAGAAAGATAACGAGAAAAAAGTAAAAGATGGGAAACAAATTATCCTCTGTGTTTTCATGATTTATGCTCATTTTTAGGAAGAACAACAGCTTTACTCTGAATTTATTACGAAAAATTAGCTACTCTGTAGCGTATAACGATATGTAAAATCACAGATGCAAAGCGTTAAAGATGTTAACTCTAAACATTGTTACTTTACATCTGGCTGCAAATAACACATGAACATGCTGTATTCCATTCATCCATTCGTTCATCCTTCCATCCTTCAATCCATCCAACCATCCATCCATTCAAGATCTGGTCAGAAGATTGAGAAGAGAAACCAGACTTCATTTTCCTCAGTATCTCCAGCTCCTCCCAATTCACGAGATGATCCCAAGCCAAAAAGGCTATTATAGTTCCTCCAGCAAGTTCTGGGTCTTCATTGACTTCTAGCAAGATGTGCTTGAAAATCCTACAGAGTGAGGCAACCAAGACATTCTCCTCAGATACTCGGACCAAAACAGTTGACTCTTTTTATGCAAAGGTGCTCTACTCCAAACTCCCCTGAGCTGATGGAGCTTTTCAACCTATATTTAATGCTGAGTTTGACCACCCTTGGCATGAAGCTTATTTCAACCGCTTCTATACGGGAAATTTTGGTTATGATTCATAATTCATGACCATAGGTGAGAGATGAAATGTAGATGGACCAGTAAATCAAGAGATTTGCCTCTTGGATCAGCTCCTTCTTTGCCACAATAGACCAGAGGAACACCCTGATTGTCCATCTCTCACTTCATTCTTCCATAACTCGTGAGCAAGACATCGAGATAGTTCAACTTTTCTACTGACGGCAAAGACTCATCATCAAGCTGTGGCCAATCACTGCTGGAAGTTACTGTGCAATTAAACAAACATGGCAACATCATCTGCAAAAAAAGAACAATGCTATCCTCTTATTTTAACTTTGCAAAAAAAGTTCAGTGAAAATGTAAGATATGTCTGCCCTATTCAATAAAATCCTTGGCATTGGCCTGTTAAGGTGGAGTCCATCGCTTTGAGGTATTGCCAAACTTAATGGGAATATTCTTTCTCATTTCCATCCAGTGCCTGAGTCATTAAACCTTACGGAAACACTAGTCTTATCACCTTTCCCAGCAAAAGAGAATAACTCAGGCTACAGGTGATTATGAGCGCTATCAACTTCTTTATTCGCATCAATAATCAATGATTTCCCCTCGGATCTGTCTGCAGGCTCTTTAATTGACAGTCCTGCACAGACAGTTAGGTTCTCTTATCTTCTGTGGGACTAACGTGCTCCCAGAGGGGCACACACTGATTTCAGGATCCACTCTCTGCTAATAACAGTGATTAGCTCTCCCTTAGCAGAGTGGGTGTCTGTTTGTCTCCACCGATTCCCCACCGCCTCAGTGAACAGATCTCCAGAGAGCTCTCATCTGTTTCCCTAAAATAACTTTCAGACTGAGAAAGGATCATTCCCCCCACCCTCTTCCAATGTGAACAAACCATCATACCGGTGAGGTCAAGTGCATTTCTACAAACATTGTTCTTTGACTGTAGCGCAGCGTGTTAATTTCGCTTGTTAACACCCACGCACAAGCAAAAGTAGCACATTGGTGCAGGCATAAATATACACAGGCATGTACTGGAAATCAGTTAATGCACCTCCACACTAAGGCTGACATGTTTCCTGACTAACAACCCCCCCATCCCCACATGCAGAAATATAGAGGTTGTACAGCTGCCCACAGATCACATTCAGTCTTTTCAATGGGCTTTTGATCTTTGGAGGCCGATGAACGAGGTCAAAAAATGTAGACGGAGACAAAGCAGAGGATAATGCTCAACCTTTAATCTCCTCACTGTGCAACCCAAAGCAGCAGGGGGGTTATTACATCAAAGACATTAAAGACGTGACTGAGAAAAGGAGAAAAGAAGGTCTGCGCTGTACGTTCATATGTCTAACTCTGTCGTATGTTGAGAGCCTGCACACACACACTAGGACAGGGAGCATGTGTGTATTCCAGAGAACCACACCGTTTGATGTTGTGTCGAAGCTGGAGGGCTGAGAGCAGGGCGACGAGAGGATTTGTGATGTGGTTTTCTCGACGACTGGTTCAGAGGACTTGATCTTTGAATCTGGGGCATCCAGAGCTTTGAGCCTTTTCGTGTGCCTCGTGCGACTGACATAGGAGGAAGCCTGAGCCTACCCACAAACAAACAAACAAAACAACATATGAATATAAAATTATGAGAATAATTACAATACACAGCATAAAATAAATTGCACTGTAGTCTGAGCAGGTTTGAAGGCTTTGTGAATCTCAGTCATCTATGGATGTTTTAAAGTAATAGTTCACTTTTTAAGGAGTTTTGGTGGAAAGATTATGATCACTTAATATTAGGGTTGTACAAGTTAGGTTTGTACCTTGATCGAGGGTCACTGTATGGCACAGATTTGCTACAAATAAAGTTACGTTTTTTTTTTAAATTTTAAACAGACTATAATTCTCCCTGAAGTAACACCGACTGACTGGCAAACATATTCTGATGTGAAAGTTCAAAATAAGTAAGAAATGAAACACAAACTTTTCAATTAGCTGAGTAGCGTGAGAAAATAAGACGTAATATGCGGGCTGTTAAATAAATGTACTGTTGGTTTGCCATACTTAATATACATTTACACTGATAGTATCTTACCTGTTGTAGATAGGTTATTCAACAAACTCAATTTGGAAAATTACAAATTAGTTTTGAACATTTTATTGAGTAACAGCTAGTCTAAGCATGGATTGCTGCAGTTCTAAGATCTAATCATGATTGTTTCTTACCTCTTTACTGAACCCCACTTTAAAATTCCCAAACTATTACTTGAATATGCAGCCAGTCAACTATAAGTACACCAATAAATAGAAATTCCCCTATTGCAAACATCAGCTTTAGTTGCAAATTGCGATTATACAACTTTACAACATTTTTGTTGGTTAAAATAGTATTCTTTGACAGCAATCCATTTATTGCAACACTTTCTCAAACTCTATTCCAATCTAGAAATTAAAGGGTTGGGAATACAATGCACGTCTGACTAGTGTAAGATTAATCATTTTACTCAGTTATTATTGCACAAGATCCCATCTCAGCGAGGCAAAAAGCCAGATGAAGGGCAGGTCCTTTCAACTGTCATTTAAGGGCGTGTGAGAAACAAAAGGCCCCACGAAAGAGAAACAGTTAAAAATGAACGGTTCTCATGCGACACCACCCACCTGTGAGTAGAATCTCACTCGAAAGACACCGCACGAGCTAGGCTTCTTCTTCAGAGGCGAAGCTAACCTGTAGCTCGGGCTGATCAAAGCTTTGTGGATGTGATCCATCTGCAACAGAAAAGGAGGAAACGTTGATCAGAGGCATCTTCAAAACATTCTCTGAGCGTTAACAGATCGTGCAACATTTTTGTTTATATCTTTGGCACTGGCTGCTGGATATAAATGTGTCTGTTAGCAAAATGTCTCACAGACCACTGGATATTAATAAAACTCTCAGAAGTTATCATTGGGTATACATCTACAACTCGTTAACTTAATAAAGAAACTCATTTCAATAAAGACGTCAAAGCTAATTGACTTTATCGAACAGAAAAATAGATATAACAGCCAAATTTACCAATACGAAGCTACAAATGTAAAATCTCATGCAAAATACACCCTGAACTGGTGTTTACAATTTGCTTACATATGTATGTAACTGTGAATAAACTGCAACATTTGTGGGACATTCTTGAAAATGATGTACAAGATCATTTGTCCCACTTTAGTCACAAAAGCATCTTAATTACGTTTCATATTGATTCCAATTGATTCTCTTTTTTTGTCTTCAATCAGACACAATTCTGCTTGAAACAGTACCAATAGTTGTCTCGCATTTCTTGGTCTTGAATCACAGAAAATAAATTAAGAAGGGTTTGAGACATTTGCAACAATCCACAACTATTCTGAGAAGAAACTATTTTTTTTTTTTACATTTTCAAAACACGAGAGGGAGAAAATTAGGGACTCTCACAAACATTTTAAGACGTGCTGGAAACTGCCTCATGAATGCTGTTTGCAGTTTGTTGCCAACAAGTCGCAGCCCAGTGAGATACAGGTTTTACTCTCAGCTTTGTTATTTTAAGGCTGAAAGTTACGATGGACAGTTATAGAGAAATTGTCTAAAGATGTTCAGATAATTTTTTATACAGGAGTTGATTTGGACAATGTGAAGCCATGCTGACCACAATCTGTGTTATCCAATAAACAAACAAACTTTTACAGTCACTTTTAAAACCCGCAGAGGTATTTTCTCGGACATGTTCCAGTAAGACTGACCCTGAGAACGTCTCTTTGGTGAAACGGAAAGGAATCCATGCTGGACACCTCGTGGTATTCATGGAAGTTATAACGAGTATGTATACTAAGTATAATAAAACCCAGAATGGAGCAAAATTAACCATTACCTAAAAACTATGTAGGCAGCTATAGAAGCAGTAAAAGCATGCTGAGAAGGAGGCTGGCAGTCAGGTAATAATGTCATTTAGTTTGGGTCAGCCAGTTTCTTTTGAAAGGCCTGGGAACATATAAGCACAGCTCTGGAGATTTTGCTTGTTTTCTGAGTGCCAATGATGAATTCCTGATCCAACATCAAAAACAGAAACTGTGTATGTGGGATTTTTCTTTGATCACTCCAGGCAGCTTCACTGAAATGCACGTCTGCTCTCACCAGGTCTCGTACCGCTTTGTTTCTGTCTTTGTATTAAAGTCAAACAAACTCCATGACAACATGCATGAGTTGATTTGCCATTCTTGTCTTCTTTATTTACTTTGTAAGTAAAAAAAAAAAAAAAAAAAAGAGCATCTAGAACCTTCTGTATCTTTACTGGATGAAATTTACCAGCAGACCACCAGTTAGAGACTCCTCTTGGGATGCCTTTGCCAAAGTTTGACCTATCAAATGTTACTTGATCTGCTAACCTCTAAACTCTGATACTCTCTCGTTCTCCTTCTGATCAAAGTCACCTTCCTTTCCTCCCCTCAGACTCACTTTGTTCCCCTTGACTCAAGCTCTGCACTCCTTAGTCTTCAAGCACCTTTGGCAAAGTCAGTTTGCTCTTTTGAACTCATTGGCCTCTTTTATTGCACACACACTGATACCACATCACCTGCTGACAGTGGTGGGATGTAACTAAGTACAAGTACTTCATTACTGTACTTAAGTACATTTTTCTTGTATCCGTACTTTACTTATGTAGAGTTAAAAGTGGGTACTTTCTACTTTTACTCCACTACATTTTACATTAAGTACATGTACTTTCTACTACACTACATTTCTATACTGCGTTGTGTTACAAGTTACATTCTCGTTACAGTTTTTTGATTTGTTTGTTAGTTAGTTTGAAAGTAACTCATGGTGAGAGGGGAGTTGGTCCATTGAATCACTGCAAAGTGGGCAGGTAAGGTTAGACTCACCTTCAAGAAGAACTGGACCAATGACATATTCTAGTATATACGTCATTGAGCTGGGCACATCCACAACACCACTAACACACCCAAAATGGATTGCACCTCATAGAGTCAGCCAGAAGATACGCACCACCCATGGCCTTATTGAAAGACTATTGAAACACTATTCAGTACAGCAGGACAGATTCTCTCTCCCAAAAGAGCCAGACTGGACTCAAAAAACTTTGAAAACCAACTTCTTCTGAACTTGAACAAGAAATTCTAGCTGCAATATTAAAATGTGTCAGTTCATGGATTGTTAGGACATGAGACAATAGATGTCTCCAAATGGCTTGGCGCTCGGGTCCAAGTTTTGAAACTGGTGTCAGGAAGTTAAAATATTGGTCACTATTGACCCATTACAAGGTTGACTAGACAATATTTTAACTAGAGTTGATGACAAACTGGAGTTCAAATGATCAGATATTCCTTTGTCAGGTCTAACGCCCCTTTTGTTCAGGCAGACAACTTTTACTTAAATGTTTTTACTGCAGTTAAAATGGCACATTGGTTTTACTTTGTGTTAAATAAAAACTTTCAAAGGTATAATCATTCCTCTTTCTTATTTTGCTTACTGACATTTAACTCTGCATGTCGTCCCTGAAATTCTGACACACCGAACCACAAGTCCAAGTGTGAACTGTGTCACAATAAAAACATGTATTATCTGCAGCATTGTTCATTAAAATGGCACAACACTATTAATGTATTACAGAAAATATACATACGTAGGGACACTTAATGATATTCTAGACCATTGCGTTAGGTAATAATTTGTACATTCAAAAAGTACTTTTACTTTAATACTTTAATTATTTAAAAAAGCAAGTACTTATTTACTTTTACTTAAGTAAAAATGTTAATGTGGTACTTCTACTTTTACTAGAGTACATTTTTGTCTGTTTATTTGTACTTTTACTTAAGTACAGTGTTTGAGTACTTTCTCCACCACTGCCTGCTGAAACAAATATTGTGAATGAATCCATCACGTAAAAACGCAGCATCAATTATAATCAGCACAAACTTTCTGGAAGTGACTCAGGTTTAGCAGCATGTAATGTTGAGCTCCAGGGAGCCAATTGTAGCTGAAACATATGTTCAAGTGAAACAAAGCAGACTTTTTTCTGGATACCGATCAGGCTTCCATGTTTCTGATGACGAATAATTCTGTTTTACTTTGTGCATGAAGTCCTGACATCAAAAGAAGAAGAAAAATAAACTGACTGCTGATTTTGGTTTGTTGTCATTAAAATGACCAGTTTTTGTGGACTCAGCCAAAATGTTTCTGTTAGTCGAATCCACGAGGAGGGAAATGTGTCAGGAGACAGAGGAAGAAGAGAAAAGTCAAGAATGTAGGACTGAGAGTTGCAACTCAAAATGTGGGGACGATGAAATGCAAAGGTAGAGAGCTGGCTAACACGATGCAGAGAAGGAAGGTAGATGTTTTATGTGTCCAAGAAACCAAGTGGAAGGGCAGCAAGGCTCGCAGCATTGGAGCAGAGTTCAAAATGTTTTACCATGGTGTGGATAGAAAGAGAAATGGAGTAGGGGTGGTCCTGAAGGAGGAGATGGCAAAGAATGTAGTAGAGTTGAAAAAAGTGTCAGATAGGGTGCCTGAAGGAAGAAGTAGAAGGTCTGATGCTAAACGTTGTCATTGGTTGGATGTGATGGGGAGGAGAAAGATACATTTAGGAAAGATATGGATGAAGTGATAGAGAGTATTCCCAGGGAGGAGAGAGTGGTGATCGGCGCAGACCTGAATGGACATGTTGGTGAAGGAAACAGAGCGGATGAGGACATGATGGGTAGGTTAGGTGTCAAGGAAAGAAACCAGGAAGGACAGATGGTGGTGGATTTCACCAAGAGAATGGAAATGGCTGTTGTCAACACTTATTCCCAAAATAGGGGGGGGATGAGATCATCAGAGGTACAGCACAGGTTGAACAACTGGAAGATAAAGTTAGAGAGGCCAGACTGAGATGGTTTTGACATGTCCAGAGGAGGGACAGTGGGTATATTGGTAGAAGGATGTTAGAAATGCAGCTTCCTGGAAAAAGATAAAGAGGAAGGCCAAAGAGGAGATATATAGATCCAGTTAGAAAGGACATGGAGTTGGAGTGAGGACAGAGGATGCAGAGGATGCAGAGGACAGAGTGAGATGGAGGAGAATGACTTGCTGTGGTGACCCCTGAAGAGGGAAAAGCAGGAAGAAGAAGAATAAACCAAAATGTTCCTGTTCCCATTAGAAACTGGAAGCCAAAGCAGTCGGTGAAGTTTGAAGAGCCGGATCTCGGCAAATATTCGTAACCATGCCAACACACATGTGGGCACCAAGCAAACTCCATTTTTGACTCTTTATGGGAGCTGGTGCTCATTGCATGCACACTGACGAGAGAACAGGGGCTTATAAACACACAGAAGGAAAAAAAATACACGCATTTCAGGAGAAAATGCACACTGTCAGAGTTCAGCTCACTGCACACCCACAGGTTTAAAACAGAGGAGGCAGGAGAGACTCAAACAGCACTGACTCCAGGCTATTTATTTTATATGAATAAAGATCTTCTCAAATTCAAAAATCTACAATACACTGATTTCATCGATGCATATTTTGTTAAAAGAGCCACAACAAGGCCGAAACAATTAGGATTCAGTCAAGAGTTTATTTAAAAACATTTTGAGTTTTAAGAAAAATGACAAAATTTCAACTTTTTCTTTCATTTACGACAATAAACCAAACGTTTAGGAGTTTGATTGTTTAAAACTTTGATCTAAAAGTTAAAATGACTAAAATGTGAAAATGACACGAGCACTCAAAAAAACTACACATTGAATTGAAC